GAACCCTATGGACTATGAATAAACACCCTGCTGTGCCCTCTTCAATCCCAGCCCGGCACATCAGCATTCCTTCGTCTTCCCTCTCCACCCTTGTCCTCTGTTTTGTTGCTCTGGTGATAACGGCCGCCTCTTCTCATAGCTGCAGGCTGGTTAATGAAATACTTCTCAGGACTGGTTCCTCTCTGAGGTTTGGCTTTTTTCTATACGAGAGCAATGAAAGAGAGGCTCATGCCAAAAAGGAGTTCTGCCACCATCTCTTAAGTCATTGAAGCTTATTTTGTTATTCCCTCCATGATTGGTGAGTGATTTGGCTTCTTACTGAGGCATCAGAAGGAAACCTGAGAAAAGGCATGCTAGGCCTCTCTTTGTAAGGAAGCATGTGCCTTTGTTTCTGCAGGAGCCTATTTCTATCCAAAAATAACCCAAATAAATCAAGAAGAGATGACTTCCTAATTTTGTGTTCCATCTTTGAAAGGGCAGATCCCATTCTGAACATCTCAGCATAAACAGGATTTTAATCATTCCCTTTGTGGGGGGAGAAATCTTTGCTGTGGCTGTTGCCAGTCAGCACATACTATTTTACCATAGCTCACTCGCTTCCCGTAAGAACTATGTTGGTTGGAAGATCCTGCTGCACAAAGCTCTCATCTTGTCTGACATGTTATTGCTGGTAATGGTGATTTTTGTTGCTTTGACCACTTAGTACATGAAAAAACCTCTTTTCCACAAGAAAATGGTTGTCTTAATACTATGTTCACCAAGCTGTTTAGTTCGACATTTATATTAAGTGTACTTTACCCTATAATCTTTCTAAGTGCTTCAGTTCTGTTTTGGTTTTAAATGAAGAGTTTAGGTTAGAGTTGGAACTTCCCTCTGTGCCAGTTCCTGGCTCCCCAGGAGTTTTGGTGTTTCAAATTTCAGAAGTATGGGAAGTGCCTCACTCAGTCAGCCTTAACCTCATCTGGGAGCTCGATATGCTGCTTAGAAATTAGTTTTATTTTAACTTCTGGTTATTTTCTGGAGAAGAGTTTTATGTTGGGCGCTTTTTTCTGGAAATTTTTGTTTGCTGCTTTAACAGCTAGCTAGTTTTACCAACCTTTGCCTTGCTTGATCTTGAAGTAAATACTAGCCAGTTGGTTGGGCCAGTTCACACAGTTCTGGTTTGTACCTGTCAGCCACCTTGGGCTTTTTTTTTTTTGCCTTTTTTTTGTTGTTGGTTTTTCCCAGCCTGCAGGGTTATATATTTAAAGCTTGAATTCTAGAGTGCCATTCTTCAGTGGTGTATTGTTCAAAAAAAAAAAAAAAAAAAAGCCCTGTGGTTCCTAGGTTTTCTGGAATCTGCTTGTGTCATCCCACATCCCATTTCAGTGGGAGACAGATGCTGCTTTCAAAGACCTAAGCTGTGTTAGCCTCCATGTGACGCATCAGTGTGCCAGCACAAATTCAGTGTTAATGGAAAGACCATTTCTTCCCTCACTGTTTCTGTAAGTGTATACCAGTGCCCCATCTATATTTAAAAAAAAAAAAAAAAGTGACATATAAAAAAGCCACTCATGGTGAAACCACGCCTGGCTGAGAGACATGGCTTTATTCCCAAGGTTTTGTAAGAGGCCAGGCATCTCGCCTGCTTTAAGGGGTGAGGAAGGACTGGAGTATGTTTGTTCCTTGCTCCTTTCGGTAAAGCTGGGCCCACTTCTAGTTTTTGTGAGGTAGTCGACTGACACTAAACTCGTAGCTCGTCACTAGAAGAATGGCCTTTTGTGCAAATGGACAATTCAGACGCACCTCTGCTATGTGCGATAGAGGTAGCTGCTAACCCCAAGCTGGTAAGTACAGAAAGCCCTGAGGGACAGCGTGTTCTTGTTCAGATGCAGTGCTGCACAGAAAAGATGGTGCTGCTTTTGGGACTCGCGGTGCAGCACAGCAAACTTCAGCTCCTCATCTGCAAAGTAGGGGTAACGCTGCCCTTGCACAGAGAGGCGGTGAGAGCATGGGATTGTACTAAAGCGAAAGGAGCGAGCACTACGAGTGCTTGAAGTCAAACGTAAAGAACAGGTAAAAGCACATTTTGGCCTCTAGATGGCATTTCCCAGCTAGATCTGCCTCGCAGCTTCAATCAGTCCCAAAAATGCTGTCTCTCAGTCCTTGGACACAGTTCCAGCGGAGGGTTACTCATCTCCCCGTGTCTTTGGAGGACTGTCAAGGTAAGAGGTGAAGGTGACAACCAGAAGGTGCTACAGAAACAAGAAGCGCTGGAAGTTCAAGTCTGCTGGATAAAAAGCAGCAGGCAATATGGGTTCCCTCATGTGTATGGTTAATACAAGAAGGGTAAACCAGAGGTTTGCTTGTATGGGGGCGAGCAGTTTCCCAGAGCTGGGCATGGAAAGAAGCATTGCATCATGCTGAAGTTGGTTTGACTTGGTACTCCCTATATAATTAGGTCAGTTCCCAGCATTTCTTCTGGCAGGCTGACTAGCTTCTGTTTTCCAAAACAGAAGTAAACAGACATTGTTGCTGTGGTGGAGCCTGACATTGCTGTGCCTATACCCCTGGCCACAACAGAGGAGGAACCTCGCTTTATCCATAGCCTCTTCTATCCCTGATCAAGCCTCCTCCTCTCAACTCATTTTCTCATCCTGATAAGCACCTGCGTAAGTCCCATCTTGTGTTTTCTGGGCAAGCCAATAAGATCCTTCTGTACTTCCCTGCCTGTGATTTGTTTTTCATGCCACCCCTTCACAACCTGTATCTTGTGTGTGTGTCAGCAAGCGAGCAGGAGGCTACAGAGCAAAATTGCCACTATCAAAATTTCCTTCCAAATATCTAGGGTCAAATGCAGTTGCAGTCTGTTGTTATTAGTAATGCTCAACAGGAGCTGCTAAAGACTTTCCTGTAGCACTCGTCAAACTTCTTATCTCTCTCACTTTGCCTTCCTGGCTTTTTCTTGCTGCAGCTCCTAATTTTGCTGACCTGAGACTGTTTTGGTTTGACAAGCAGTGGGAGAGATAAAGGAGATATCTTT